CATCGACTTTGAGAAGGCCTTTGACAGCGTCGACCGAGAAGTAATTTGGAAACTGCTTCAATACTACGGAGTACCGCAAACCTTTATCCGCCTCATTCAACAACTATATGAAGATGCCACATGCCAAGTAATCCACAACGGGAAGCTCAGTGATGCTTTTGAAGTGAAGACAGGAGTGAAACAAGGTTGCCTACTATCCCCCATGATATTCCTGATTGTGGTCAACTGGATCATGCAGCAAACAGTGGGCAGCGAGAAGAGGGGGATACACTAGACTGCGGAAAAGAACCTAGAAGACTTGGATTTCGCCAATGACTTGTGCCTAATGTCACATAAACTTGAAGATCTACAGGCGAAAACTAACAAGTTGACAGAAGAGGCAGGGTAGCGAAGACGGGACTTCAAGTGAATATAGAGAAGATAGAGGTGATGAAGATACCGCACCACCACCATCAACAACAACAACAACAACAAACTTCAGTCACCATCAACGGGGGAAACTTAAAGGAAGTAACCTCCTTCACTTATCTAGGAAGCACTGTTTCAACTACAGGCGGGACGGACGAGGACGTCAAAGTCAGAATCGGAAAAGCAAGACAGGCGTTCATTAGCCTGAAACCAGTGTGGAGATCTTCTGCACTCAGCATGCGGAACAAGATACGGATTTTCAACACCAATGTCAAGTCAGTGCTTCTGTATGGCTCAGAGACTTGGCGCGTCACGAAAGGCATTTCCAATAAACTACAGACGTTCATCAACAACTGCTTACGCTCTCTACTGAAGATCAGATGGCCAGAAAAAATAAGCAACAAGGAACTCTGGGAACGAACCAACCAAGAACCTATCACGCAACAAATATGCAGGAGGAGGTGGAGATGGATTGGCCATGCACTGAGAAGGCCGACTGGGGACATCACGCGTCAGGCCCTCGAGTGGAATCCCCATGGGAAGCGATGAGTTGGACGTCCAAGGGTGACATGGAGGAGATCGTGCGAGGAGGAAATGAGAGCTTGTGGGCTGTTGTGGAACCAGGTTCAAAAGATCTCAGAGAACAGAGGTTACTGGAGACGTGCTACTGAAGCCCTATGTTCCACTAGGAACCCAAGCGACTAATAATAAATAATAATATAATCACTAAGTACAGTGCAAGCGGTGACAAAAAGTTGAGTGTTATAGATATACGAGTGTTTCCCCGCCCTCAGAACAGTTTCCTGTGGACAGTCATCACAACAATAATAGACTGTTTTAGTAAGTCAAAGTCGAACAGGAATTTAGTCCTGCTAAAATATTCTAGATAACATATCCTTTTATACCTTAGTTGCTAATAACTAATTTACAATGATCTTACTTCATCTGAATGCAGTTTATATACGGTAACCTTGACGTCGACAACTACTAACATCCAACCAAGTGTATCACCGTTTACGGATTTTTATACACTGTAGTAGTTGTTTATAAATTATTGGCACCCTCATTTCAGAGCTGATGGTCTATTAAAGTGTTTCTAGGACTTAGTGTTACAGATACACTGAGCCAATATGGAGACAAAATAAAAGCAATATGTGTATCCGAAATAAGTACTATAGGTGCTTAAGCAACCACTTGAAAGTCATTTCAGGTGAAAGAATGGACAGTCACTGCTTATGACCTCAGTCAACTAACCCTAACTAATTTCAGTGAAGCCATCTATAATATAAACGTGCTGTTGTTAAAAGTAGATGGGGATCACAGTCCTATTCCGTAAACATCAGTTTTAAACATCACCTCCCACCAAAAAATGAAAGGTGAACTAGAATATTTCGTGTATTTTATCAGTGTTACTCACTTTATTGTGCTAAAGGTATACTTGTTATTTTTTATTGTTCTTCATAACACTTGCGACTCAGAAAATGACTCATTCTCATTCAGGCTACTACTTTTTAGAAAGTAAATAACCTGTTCATAATATCGTAAAGTTATCGAATTTACCTGAAGTTTTGAAATCAAGCGTATTTACATCTGACTCTATCATCCCTAAGCAGATTTCAAAGTTCTCAAAATCTCCTACACCACGAAGAAAGTGTTTTTTATCATGTTATATCATCCCTAGAGGATCTTTTGTTAGTTTGAATTCACTTTCAGCTACTCACTTATTCTTTTTGATATGAAGACGATGCGTTATTGAAGTAAGTGTCAAGGGTTCTCTTCATATTTAACATTAAATCCACTCAGCAGATATGTTGAACTGTCACTAAACAAAAAGGATGATAAGAACATCTTAATGTCACTTTAAGAATCTGAGGTGTTAAAAAAGCTGAAAGATTATTTCGACGTCAGAGAATGTCTTTTTTCAGTTTGTAGTTCTTCTCTCAGTCACTTGTTTCACTTTCTTTTTTTGGCACTTGACTATTTATTGAAATGAGGGATTATCTCACCATACAAGTAAAGAATTAGCATTGCGAAAAAACGATAAATAAATAATAGGATTCATTTCATGCAAGACAGGTACTATATCAGCTTTAGGTCATCTTTTGTTTTGCATGAAAAATGGCTGTTTATCATGTTTGTTAAAAGAGACACTTGCTGATATCTGTCAGTATAAGAAAACAGAAACACTATGTATTACAACTATCACTTCAAATATTTATCATATAGAGATGAATACAACAGAAATAACAAGATCTATTTCATTTAGACACAGTAAAATTGTGTCCAGAACATGATTAAGGTTATAAAGTCTCTTGAGTTCCCTGAATATTTCAAGAGGCTATGGCTTATTCGAATTTGATATAACACAAATATGATTATAGACGATATTTGACTCCAGCTTTCATGATGACTGAGTTGATATCCCATTTAACTGACGATCACACTTGACTACTGGTCAAGATTATTTGGGATTAGGATTCGTACTTCGGAACAAAGACGGCTAGGTTTACTTTTCTCTTCCCATTTGTATTTGCTTACGGTGAATGGTCTCTGCAGAGTAACTGAAATAAGTGATTTACCTCTGATAATTATTCATCTTATCAGTCTGTAGGAATGAGAGTCAGTTTACTGCAAAGAGCTATGAAAATTCGGTGCAGCATGCTGATGTTAGATAGATCTATTTTTTCATCATACTGTAACACATGAGTTAATAAAACTTGAGAATATAGAATAAAAACAGAAGTTCAATGCCAGAAGATATTTATATATTGTTTTCTATAAAAGGAAATAAATGTCCCAAATTATGTGTCACTGCATTGCTCAAGGGATGGAGTCCGTTTCCTTGACACTGTTATTGGTAATTATGTTGTGAAGGCTAAATTTGTTTTGTGATTAATTCTTACTTCATCCACAGCCAGCCAAAATGGATAATGGGAATACTGGATGAAGTGAATTTTGCATGAATCACCTAGTTTGTAACTGCTAGTTCTTAATTTAATGCTCAGACTACTTTCTTTGGGAGATAATTTAAGTTGCGAAGAGGAGGAGTTATTCTTTTTCAAGAGCGAATGGTACTAAGTTATAACTCATGCATTTCAAATGAAGAGTTTCAACAAGAATATGCGGTAGTCCCATGTGCTACAGGCTTAACAGGGTAGGGCATTGTGGTTCCTTAGTATCTTGTGACCTGAAGCATCTATCTATCAGAAATCCGCATGAAAGAAACAATTGACCAATTTTCGCAGAAGGGAAAACAAATAGCTCATTTCCCTTTCTTTTAAATAGGGGAAAGCGGTTTGATTGAGATACTGTAAGAACCAGAACTTCAGTGTTCTATGCGAATCAAAAACTGTTATCCATAAAGATTTTTTGATGAAAATATTCATAAGTAAACCTCCTATTAAAAATCTAGCCAGTGTAAATTAAAAATACTTTTTGGATTTGGAAGTGATCCAACACATGGTAGATGGCTACGTAAAGCGTATAGTGACCACAGTTGCTAAAAGAATATTCTACAATATGACTTGTCGTTCAACAGTGAACGTCTATGCGAAGGACAGGCTGCTAAACCTGACTACTTTACAGCGAACATATTAGTTAGCCTGTTCCTGAGCAGCTAGGTATGTAAGGTAAACGGAGTGGGTTTTAGTGTCACCGTCATATCTTGTGGCATGCATTCTTGTTACGGAACAGGAAGTTAATCACTGAGTTATTTCTTATTCCTGAAAAATTGTCTTGAGGTTTTGATTTACAGACATTCTTTCTTCAGCATTTTTGGGATGAATTTCCTTGACTTATCATGGTCGAAATATTTTTCCGAAAGTCAAAATGTAAATCTGTTTGTAACTCTTAATTAATTGTAAGCTAAGAATTCTGTTTCTAGTAGTCATTAGTAATTGGACAGTTGTCCTTAATATACGTTTCACCCTCTTTAACACTTATTTACACGACATAGTCATAATTAAGTTTCATAAATTTAATACTCTTTTTCATCCTTGTTCCAGTCAACCTTGAGAAATAATATAGTCAAACCACTCATTTATGACGTAAATAAAGTTTCTACTCAGAAAATTGTGTAGTCTACACTAGAGGACTGAGGTCTGTGCAGTAATGATGTGTGTACCCTCATCTCTATACAGAAAAATAATTAGATAATTCCTCCTGTTCGTTTCCCTACTGGTTAATGATAAATTTGCTGGTTTCAAATGTAATTGGTTGGTTGGTAATTCTTATTCTGCGTCATAATTACTACCGACTTCAGTGACCTAAATTACGGTTGAATAGAGAAACATGTTCACATGAACAATGGTGAATTTGTTTTTGTGTGCATGCGTGCGCTCAGTTGTAAATGTTTGTAGCTGTCTTCATCACTAGGCTTGTATATATAGAGAGATATATATGGGTAAGCTGACCGAGTCTTTTTCTGGATAAAGCACCTAATACCCATCACTTATCGAGACAAAAATTAAACATTGAATCATAAGTTCCAAAGCAAAAGTAGCAACTTGAGTTATTTGAACAAAAATTATCTTTCAAAAAAACCAAACTTACATTCAAGCACTCTCTTATAAATGAGGTATATGTAAACTACCATGGGAAAAATTCAGTTTAATTTGCCGATACCTAAACCAGGAGACTCAGCAAACGACGAGACATTGGACGACGATGGAAAACCTTTAAAAATGTCTGCGAATTCAGCAAGAAAAGCAAAGTAAGTTATCAAGGTTTATCTTTGAATGGAATAAAAAGTCATGTCTCTTAGTTGTAACTCAGATTGCGAATTAATGATGGATAGTGACTTGTACTGAAATCCAGGGTGTGCGTTTCGTTCTATCTAAGACTCATCTGCTAGATGTACCTGCCTCCCAGTGAGTGATGTTATTCTCGCCAAGAGTCGAATCCAGGAGGAAGCTGTAGAAAGCTATAACATCAAAATACAAAAGTTGTGAAAAAAAATGCAGAAACAAGTACAATTAGTAGTAGTTGTCATTAGATGTGATGTCATGGATCATGAAGTTATACCGGAAACGATGACGGTATTGTCAGTGAAGTGTTTGCTAGCAGTAATTTTATCACTTCATGAGTATGTATTTATGAAAGTTTCATTGAGGTTTGTGCTAACTGTGTCACGATATAGGATTGAACAAAAAGCCATCATTAAATTGATATTAAACTGTTATGAGACGTCACTGTTTGACGGTTTATGCTTTCATCTAGGTCAGAATAAAAAGACAGAGTAGTAGTAGCATTATTACTCAAGAAAACTTGCTTGAAAGTCAGAAAATATAAGAACCATCAATCCGCAAATAAAGTTGTTGTTTGGTTTTTAGACCAACGCTGCCCACATTAGCTTTGAATAAATGTAACGATTTTTGTATCCGGCACCTTAAGGCAGATTGAAGCAATATTTCAGATGTGCATCTGTTTTATTTCTGGGAAGAAAAATGAGACATTTAGTTTCGCAGAGAGCAGGTATATAATTAGTCAACACTTCAATACCCTCCGGTTATCAGGAATAGTTTTAATATAATTTGGTTTCACTTAGGAAATACTTTATTAATAAACACAATTTTTTGATAACTTTTATCGGTTTATTTGAATAGAAATGGTTAATTGGAAGACAGTTTTAATTATGAAACAATAATGACGGAAGAACTACCAAGAAATACTGGATATACTGAATAGACTTTCCTTTTCATGTTTTTACTTCTCCAAAATACCAGACCGTAGAAAAGACCGAGATACAGACTACCAAGTTACATGATGATGGTGGTTCATATTTTGCAGCTTGAATTAATTGAAGTGTATCGATTCATCTGTTTGAGGAGAAGCACTTTTTTACTCGTGCTTAAGGATAACCGTGAAATGGGATTTCACTGCGGAATATATTGCTAAAGATGGGAGGTTCGAACAAAATTATCGCTTTTTTACATGCATTGAATCGAGTGACTAATTTTTCATTTTTCCACTCTTTTTCAATATCTGGGACACTTGTTATTTGTATACAGATTATTTCATGTACTCCATTAGAATAGTGTTCCTTTTCATCAGCTACCAATAATGGGGAGGAAGGTTCTGTAAAGTTAAGGTCCCATCTGAATGCATTTTAAAATCTCACTGGTTTCCACTACAGAACACATTTTGTGTTGGGATTGACTACTTATATGGTTATGTGGCAGATAAATATTATAATTTTGACTATCAGAGATACCCGTGGTTTGACAGACTGGTTTTTATACTGGGTGATGATTGAAGGTGAAATGTAAATTAGACTGCGGCCGGACTCGATCCAGCCACCATTGGGTTTCTGGCCCAGTGCCCTACCACTGAGCTGAAAGGTCCGACTGATAGAGCACCAGGCTGCAAACCTGGTGGTCGCCGCTTCGAGTCCGGCAGCGGTTCAAATTTTCGTTTTACTTTCAATCATCACCTAGTACAGATAAACATTAGTAGAAACTTAGTTTATAGTTGGGTTGAAAATACCGGTCTCAGAATTAAAAATGTCTTAATCAATGAATGAAGATTATTCCATTCCAAAGCACTGGAAAAAACACTTAGATTATTTAAAACATTTGTCATTTTAGGTAAACAGTTGGAACTGATGTTTTTAAATTTTCCATCTTGTCTTGGAAGTAAATTTGATAGTTCGAAACCATTTTTAGATTGAAAAGAACTCATATCTGCTTTCATAACAAGACATTTTTTAGTAAATAAACGGTAGGCATAAAGTACATGCTGGTGAATAGGTATAATTTATTCAAGGACAAATTTCAGTACGTCATTTGAGCGAAATTTTGTCAGTGAATTCTAATAGTGCGCAGGGATTTATTTCTACGGGCTTATCATGAGCATGGTCATTTTAGTTTTAAATGTCTGTAAAGAGGGTGATTCCAATGACCTTCACGTGAGATTCATCATTTATATATATATATATATATATATATATATATATATATATATATATACTTAGTCATCGCTAATATTTGTTTTTGTAAAAGTCAGTGATCGCAGCCTAAAAGGTCAGTGGCATTTGAAACATCAAATGACTATCTTATTTTAGGTTAAAGTGCATTCCACGGATGAGCTTGAACATATGGGACTAATGCTAACCAAAATTGACTTCATGTTGATGTGTATGGAAATCTCCAGGTTGTGTTCTATGTGCTGGAAGGTTTTACGACAAACAGTATCGACTGTTTACACAAAAATGATCTCACGTGAATCATAAATGAAGAACCACTTTTCAAGTTCATCCATTAATCATAGATCTTAGACCAACTAACTAAATACATACTGGAACGTGTCTATAAATTAGTGTAAAATACAATCACTAATTTACTGACTGATTTTCGAGAGATATACGGGGAGAGAGACAGCAGGCAAGTTCACTCGGTTACTTTTTGTTCACTTAAGGATTCATTATTATATTATTGGTAATATCAAGAAATCCTACTTAAATAACCTGCCGAATGGTAAGTAGGGTAAAGGAATATCTCAGTAGCTAACTGGCTGACTTTAACACAGAGCAGTGTATGTTCTCTTCTCCGGAAAGATATGTGCTGCCATTAGGTTGTAGATACACTTTGTTGATAGCTGTAGGAGAACTTGAAACCTAGGTACACAAATTCTCGTCGACTAACTTCATATATCATCATCATATATCTTCTACATCGATAAATCCGAGTTTAGCGTTCATCGAAACGTTTCTGTCCATAGTTTGATGATTATGATGCATTAGTATAATGTTATCAGGCTTAGAAACCTACTAACTCTTTATGTAGTATATGTTTTTAGGTAAAAAGGTTCTATTACGGTCAAAATAACTTTCAGTCAGTAATTTACAACATATAATTGTTTCGAATATCGATGAAATATGTCAGAATGAATATCAAACGTGACTGTGTTTGACTAGTATCGTTGGAATCGCTCATGTGGAGTGAGTTTCATCTGAGGGTAGAAGCATGCCTTACTTTTGAAAGTCAGCGAGTTTAGAACTTAGAACTCAATATCTCCGACCATTTAGCTACAAAGAAAACCAATAACTATGAAAAAATATGATTATGCACATCAATACTTAGGGTTTAGTACATGTTGCTGCTTTGGATACCATATCAATTTAATTCAAAGTACTAACAGAAATATATTCACTTTTCTCCTCAACAGTATTTCCGTTTGAAATTTAAGACTAGTACAGTAGTTAAACTATGGTGTTAAAAAGATATTAGTAATCAGTAAATTCCTATGTATTATAAGTAACGCTTTAACAACAAGTTTATGCACAGTGATAAGTCTTTAATTTTTTAATTTTATTTGTTAATTCTTAATATGATCACAGGCAGTAATTTTGCTCGAAATATTACCCAAATTAAAGAATATATCATTCTATATAAACTTTACATTAAAAATTTACTTTTAATATATTAGCATATTCCAAAATGCACAAACTAATCACTAATATGTTCAGGTCAATTATGTTCAGTAAATTATTATTATTCTGTACGGAACTGAAGGACGTTAGTTTTGATGATCTGGATCGCTGAGGTAAACTGACATATAAGATATTCTGAGTACTGTTTCATAGTACTGAATTAAGACGTAGTAAATGTTCAGAGCAGCTTACATTTTCGGATAATATTGAAGTTAGTACTTCACGACTAAACCACCCAACTGAGAGAACTCAACACAACCGAGATCAGTATCCTTTTGCAACGGAAATTTCATCATTTACTTAGTCTTTCATTCATGTACTGACGTGGCACAGCTAAGCATAAATGTAACAGAAAACTGAGAAACCTGACCACTCTAATTTTAACAGTAAGGCGCTCTACACTTTGTATGCTTACAACCTTTGAGTTACATCGGCCTACGAAGGCTTTCCTATAAAAAAGGAAAGGAGCATTCTGTAACGTTTTGGATAAATCACTTTGGAGTTTAGAAGCAATTATTTGCTTTTTTGTATTGAGAAGTCACGTATTTGTGTCGATATATATATATATATATATATATATATATATATATATATATATATATTAATGTTTGAGACCTAACTGGCGTCCGACACTGGCAGAAAGTCTCCGACATGACTAACTGCAACCCTCCTTTCAGTCAGAAAGTAGATAATGTGAATGATGAGATGACTGATATTCAACTTAGTAAGTCAACTGAGAATATTTTAAATCAAGTTTTCGTGGGCCTATTGAAACTTCGTTTATTCGCTGAGAAAATTTCTTCATGAGATTATGTAAAATCCCGTTGTGGTGAAAAAGGGTAGTTTCTTTCGTTTACATTCAAACAGTAAATACAGTCCACAGAGTATCATACTAATCTACACATAGTAACTTAATCACGTTGATTTAGGAAATATTTTTAACCTTATTTGCTGACATACAGACAATAACTTTTGATAGTATAGAATCCATCGTCACCTATTATTGAGGTGTATGCAATTTGTTGGTCACAAAATGTAGCCTAATGAGTCCTTCTTCTCACATTTATCACTAAATTTCCAAGTTTGTCAATCAGATGCGAGGTTTCTCTCACTAATTAAAGTACAACAAACTTTTATCATCAATTCCTTATTGATACTCTCAGGATGATGATAAAATCCACTAGAACTGTTTTAAATGCAGAGATGAAAAGTACTTCCTGATGCCTTTCTTCCCTAGGCTGTGTTGTAAGAAATGATGAAGCAGAGGGAATAAAACTAAAAAG